ATGTCTCACACTTGTTATAGGTCCATCGTATGCATCTTTTATGGTTTTGATAGTATGCCTATGGTTGAGCCCCATTTATTATTTATTATTATTTATTTTTTTGTTGAAAGTGGGTTTTGTAACAGTGAATTTTTGGAAAATGTGATTAAAAAGCTGGAGAAAGTTTTGGATTTACGTGCAAAATATTTTATTCGAAGAATGTGTGGTTAAAAATGAGTTTAGGGAAAAATTGAGTTTTTAGATAATGGGTTCATGTAGAAATCCCGAATCAGTTGGAGGATTATTGTATTTTATGTATATGAAACAATTAGTGTTAAAGTTAGGAAAGATTTTTCCTCCCTTAGTTAGAATATTACTTTCCTATTCTAACTTTCCTTTTCTCCTACCCTGTATTGTATATATATTGAGGCAGGTTGTACATTAAGAACATTGAGAAATAAAGAATTAAATCTTTTCTCATCTTGTCTTTATGTTCAAACAGGAACTATATAAATTTATTTGCTCTCTGGTACCAACAATAGCCCTTCCATGACACACTGTCATTAGCATTTTCTAAATGAACAAAAACAAAATGCATGTCTTTGTTTATACTTGTCCATCAATTTTCTGAGGATGGAAATAGTTTCTATAGTAGACCTTTATAACATAAAACCAAACTAATTTATGTTAAGGATGAAGTTTATCCAATCCTTGCATAAGGATTCATTCACTTCTATCACGAAGAGGAAATTTATTTTGAATAAACTATTGTCTATTTTGAAATGTTATAAGTTGTAACACCAAATCATAACCCACCCCAAAGCTCATTAGTGTTACGTTCTACATTTTGATTTCCCATGGCCAAATTTTCATTTAATGGGACCCACAACTTTTGGTAGGGATTAAAATCTAGATTTTAATTTAAGTCGAAGATACTTGCCAAGACACATTGAAGAAATATCGCCAGCCCAATCACAGCAAACATTTCAAATTTAAATCATAGCCACCCCATGCATACTTCCATCACAATCACAATGAAATGAGTTGCTGTAAGCAAATAATATAAGAAAATATAGCCTATTTAAACACGTATCAAAAGTAAACTTTATCTGCACTGCCATCTTCACAATTTCCTTTCATTTATTTCTAACTTTTTGTCAAACATACAAGCACATACTTGTCAAAAAAAACCCATCCTCGGAGAAGAGAAACAAAAATGTTTATCCTTACGTGCAGCTCGCACAGGAAAATGTATGGGATGGCGCATTTACATCCACGATTTTTATATATACATCCTCCTTTAAAATGATGATTGAAAAGTCACTATGAACGCTTTGCTATGTCAAATTCAAATTTAAATATTACCAAGTTTACGTTCTAGTCAATTTATTATTCGATCTTACTGCGGAATTGATTAATCAAAGTAACACGTCACTCTAATTAATTGTCTAGGTGATTAAACATACAATCCAATTAATTCCTATGTTGAAGACTTGAACTGCCGGTTTGTAATGCGTAAATAATAAACAAATCAACACTCACAAATTTGATGACGGAGAAACCTCAATGTGCGTAAAACTTCGAGATTGCTCCAAACCTCAGTAGTTTTTTCATTATTTTAATCTCAAAATCAACATTGTCAACTAGTTAGTTAATCATAGTTTAGTTTAGTCTAGTCTAGAAAGTAGAATAGCAAACAATTTTGTGCTAAATTTTTGTAGTTCAAATTAATAATAGGATTAATTCGAGTCAATTATCGGTCATATGGTTCTCATGGAAACGATAATCTGAACTCTCTAGCCCTATTTTTACTACAACCGAACGAGTTTTTGACGTCGTTATGAAGAATTGTAGTTATATTTATTGATTTTAGTTAATTCTATTACTATACAAATCTCAAATGAAACCTTTGAATTACTAGAAAGGTTGTTCTTTACCGATGCTCTGTTTCCAAAGCCGAACTGATACTTCGTAAGGAAACAGTTGGTATCCATGAACTTGATGCCTATAAATTTCTGTCACCACAAATAGCCCGCAAAAATAAAATAAAATAAATGAATAAATCACTTCAGTCAGTTAAGGCAGGACAAGCACAAATAGGTTTATCATTTATGAGAGCTGCGGCGCGAATCGTCATATCACCGAATCAGGGATGGATCCAGGATTGAATCTAAGATTGAGCTATAAAATTTTAAATCAGACTACTACATGGAAAAAAAAAAGAAAAATTATACGTATCACTTGTTTAAAAATAATAATTCCTAATGTATTCTTATACTGCATTTTTCTCAGTATGAAAAGTTGCTAAAAAACAGGTTAATCAATTTGGACAGCTAAAAACTTCCCATAGACAGACAACAATTACGTACAAATTAAAGACAATATCCCATGATTTTTGTCCTAAACTTAGAAACCCATTTTCAAAGTTCTCTGCTTTCTTTGTGTGAAATCAGAAATGCACAATAATACAAGAAAAGGGAAAAAATCTGTGGCACCGATCAACCACCTTCATCACAACGGCGAAATTTGTAGCATCAATATCATTTTACGATCTTTACCCCTATACCCGTGTTACTGGTGTGGACGATTCACTATCGGCTCATGCTCGGGGCGGAGGACTTCCTCTAGTTGGCCAGAGATTAGCCAAAGTAGCTGAGGCATGTGGAATGCAATTTGAATTCAATGGTGCTGGTATGTGGGATGTGAGGTCCAACTCGATAATCTTCAGGTTTGTCCCGGAAAAGCCTTGGCCGTGAATTTTCCTTACATGCGTCACCACATGCCGGACGAGAGTTTGAGCACCGCAAATCATCGAGACCACCTTCTAAGACTAGTTAAGAGCTTCTCACCCAAGCTCGTAACCCTCGTTGAACAAGAATCTAATACTAGACCGCCCTATTCTACATTTTCACATCCCAGATGATATATATTATTGAATGTAATGTATATGTTGTACAATTATTTCCTTTTTTTTTTTTTTTTTAAGCACCAATCGAATATGTCTTTTTAGGTTGCATTGATCATATTCTTAGATGAATTTAAGTATATATATTGTACACGTAGGTGAGCACATGCTTGTGATCCGGTAGATTCCATCAGACTCCCATAGCGTTCTTATTTCACGTAATGTAACGGGCTGTTGAAGATGCAACATTGAGCATGGTTGTGATGTTTGTCTATACGACATTGACTCCAGGTTAAAGCTAGTTAACATTTATAGGTGTTTAAGAATCCCGCGTGCATTACATCCTGTCTAATTTGTACAATATTAAAATTCGATGTGATAAATGTAATGTGTATCTTACACAAGATGCCCTAACATGTGACTAGCTCTTATGCATTTTTTGAATTTATTCGTGTAGTGAATATGAGTACAAATAAACAGTAATATGGCATTCAGATTGTGTATATCTGCTATAATATAGAGATCTGCATTTTCATATCTAAAAGTAAATAATAATATTTAGAGCCTTTAAATTTACGTCTTAAGTTGCATATACGGTATACCGATATGATATTTCCCTGTCTTCGATTGGTTGTGTATAGAAATTAAAAAACTGAGAATTTTATTTTATTTTATTATGTAATTACATGATTATTCTTTCCTATTTCCCCAGAAGAATAGATTGACTGGCACAATCAATGTGATCAAAAACTTGATGTGATAGTTTGAACGCCAAACTGAATGATGAGCAGAAGGAGATGTTCCTAAGTTCGTGCTTTGGTCACTTCCTCCAAAACAGCGAAATTCGAATTCAACATCCGATCATCCACAAGCTACTGATGCTGAAAATTAGGCAACCAAATGAGAATGAGAATGAGATGTTTGATCATATCACTGTAACTACTTTTCATTACATGTGATCCGAACATTGATGGATTCCATTGCCTGTCATATTCAAAACAACAGAATTATGAATGATATGCAATGTCATGTATTCAAGCAATGTATCAGAATAAAAAAAAATTCAATGCATCTGATCTATAAATTAATGGGGATCAGAGAAACCGAAATATTCAGAAATCTTGCAGTACTACAGAATGTATATAATCCATGATCTGATTAATCTATTTAGCCAGATATACTTTTGTTATATATATTTATTTTAACCACCAATATCGTACGATTATATGATTACATAATCTGAGCAATTCTAAGTTCATATTGGTTGTTTCCTCGTATTAGAAATTATTGCATATATCAGTAGTGATGTGTTGAAAATCCTCGTGTGAATTGTATTAATTTCAACCAAATAAAATCACATCTACCATAGGTGATGTGTGTGAATTGCAGTTATGTAAACTGTAAATTACGTTATTATGGCTATGATATTAATCTGTGATTAGCTTGCTGTGAGCCTGTGAATCATGCCGATAGTCTTCATTGCAAATAGCATTATTCATTTTGAAATATGTAATATTTATGGTATTATATGAAATACTTTATTTTTCATAGACAATTGCGATTTTTTTCCCTAAAATAAATAAAGATTGGTAAATATACCAAATCATCGTGGCAACTGTCGATTCATATCATTCTCCCTTCATACAATTCCGTGAACTCTCCTAACTTGGCCGCGTTTCGCTCGATCTTTATTCTTGAAATGTCATTTTCCACTGTTTTGGTCGAAATACTACCATAATTGGGTAATTGGCGAAAAACGTCCCTACCTTTCGAGATTATTGTGGAAAACGTCCCTACGTTTCATTTTTGCCCTTATTTCAACATTTCGTTGCGCTGAAAGTCATTTTCACTGTTTGGGAACGTAAAATGACAATTATGCCCTCTTATTCAAAACAGAAAACCAAAAAAAAAGAGAGAAAAATCCAGAACAAATTGTAATCCACCCCTAAACTTTTAATAATGTGTAAATGAGTCCCCAATACTTTTTTTTTCCAAGTCAAGGTCCAAATTATTTAAAAGGGCAATGAAAAACACAAACAGATAAGAATTAAGAAAATTTACATTCATGAAATTGAAAAGGGGAGCCAATAACATTTTGCCTTTCGGTTAATTAAATCAAATCCCCTCTTCACAATTATTTAAAAGGGCAATGAAAACACAAATAGACAAGAATTAAGAAAATTTAAATTCATGAAATTGAAAAGGGAAGCCAGTAACATTTTGCCTCTCGTTTAATTAAATCAAATCCCCTCTTCACATGTCATTCCTCGTTAAAAGCATGCATCCAGAAGAGAACAGCAGTGCAATGCAACCAAACAGCCTTCCATGAATTTGGCACTACTGTTAGATTTATTTTGAGGCAGCGGCAAAGCAGCGTATTGTGGAAGATAGCCCTGGGGCGGGTAGACTTGTGGTGGGTAACCTTGAGGCGGGTAGCCGGGTGGCGGATAGGCATCCTTCGAGTATCCTTCCGGTGGATAACCTTGAGGAGGAGGAACTCCAACAGGGGTTGATTCTAATTGTAGTAACTCATGATTTCCTAGAATTGAATCTGGGTTGCGAAGAGAGTTCAGATTTCTGGATTTTGAAGAAATAAATTTTAAAGAGAGAAAATCGTTGTGTGATATTTATAAATGATATTGAGAATAACAAAAAAATACCTTATGTTCTCTTTCTCCCCATCCCGAACCAACCAATATTTTTTTGGCTTGAAAGGTGGCAATGGAAGGGGAGGAAGAGAAGAGAAAGTATTTTTTGGTCATTTTCAATATTTTAAGTATTGGAGACTCATTTGTACTTTTTTAAAAGTTTAGGGATAGGGTTGCAATTTGTTCTGAAATTTTTTTGTTTTAAATAGGAGGGTATAATTGTCATTTTATGTTCCAAAACAGTGAAAAGGACCTTCAGCGCAACGAAATGTTGAATTAAGGGCAAAAATGCTAAAAAATGAAACGTAGGGACGTTTTCCACAATAACCTCAAAAGATAGGGACGTTTTTCGCCAATTACCCAAATACAATTTGTTCTTTGGTCGTGGTTTGCACTTCATTTTTCAATAAAATAGTGAAATAACGGTCAAAATTTTGATTTTTTTGGGTGAAAAATTGCTACCAAATGGGGCATAATATTCTTGAAATGTCACAACAATTTTTTTTTTTTTTAATTTATTAGGTATAATGGCCACATACGATCGCTGCTTGAAATGTCATAAAATTTGTTGTTTCTAACAACGGATGAGATGTAGTGACTAATGCTATGTAAATATCAATATTTGATAATTTAAATTTAAAAATCATTTGCATGTAACCAGGTAAGTTGGGGGTCCTTTCCAATTGAGTTGGTAAAGAATACGCATTAATAATTGAGCCCTTGTTTGGTACACATTTTTTTCAAAATATATTTTTTTCTCTCTCTTATTTTCAACCATACACTCTTCAATAAAATAATATCACACGCAAAATTAAAATTTTTTCTTATTTTTTAACCACACATTTTCCAACAATCACTATTACAAAATGCATTTTTACTATGAAAATGAGAAACAAACATGTTCTCATTGTTGGTATCAAATTATTTTTTTGCACGAGGAAAATACGTATCATAATTGAGTCGGAATCAAATCATTGCTTGTGAGACGTTGGGGCCTTTTCTGATCAAAAGTTATTGCATACGTAACTTTGAATAAAAGAGTCAAAAAGAATAACAATTACATGTGATTGCTGGTGGATTGAATTGACTAGTCTTGCAAAATCAGCTATATTTTTTCCCAGGGAAATTTCATGAATATTGATGGAAAAAAAATTGTCTACTACTTGGAATTCAACAAAAATGTTAGAAAAAATATGCTAAAACTTTAAGTTGTCCATTTTACAAAAATGACCACATTTTTGGACAGTTCAGACATCATCGTTCATGATGGAGTTAGGGTCACTATTGAGTGGTTAAGATTTTACATAGAATAAAGCTTCTAAGATTTTACATAGAATAAAGTTTCTAAGCTCGAGATTAAATTTCGGGCTCCGATCTAGCTGCCCAAAATTGGCCCCTGATGATGTTTGGGGTGGCCCCTACATGAAAAAGATCAAGGGCCGCGGTGCAACCATCTCGGCCCTGGAGCAGAACTAGCATGGTCCTTTTACATATTGGGGCGGCTTATGCATTCAATTCATGTCTTTTTTATTTCATTGGAATAAGGGATCTCAAAACTATAGAACTATATACCATCTATAAGAAATATTTGAATCTCATTTAAGTTGTATTTAAAATAATTCGATTAAATTTTGATAGAATTATAATTATAACTATTAAAATTAAGTTAACCTTTTTCATTGTGTGATTGGGAGGGTATCAATGTCATTTACGCATATAAAGTGGAGTGTAATTGATTTTTCTAACGTCATTTATGTATATAAAGTGAAGTATACCTTCAATTATTAATGAAAACCTTTCCCTTTCATGTTATACGTATGTTCTGAACAACTTGACACATGAGGCCCGCTTTTGTTTGAAAACTTAGCAAATAATGAGAATTAATGAGTTTTAATGGAGCCAAATGGGGCTTAAAAACTCCTTGTTACCAAACTTTCCAAATGTATCGATAGGGCCAAACATTGGCCAAACTAATATCCATTTAGGCAAATATGTCCTTGCCTAGTTGCTTCTCTTACTGGAGTATTGAAGAACACGGTATACTTATATGAGAAAATAGACACTCAAAATATTAGAACCTAAAATTAGTGAAAATGACCCGTAAAAATATAGGTTGTTCAATAAGATCGAATACTATAAACTCGGAATGCATTGGTCCATTCAACTCAAAAGATTGAGAGGTACAATGTTCTTGATGAAAATCCGGCTGAGTTAGAAACTTCTTACTTATTCGAAGTGAATGATCACATAGTATACTTATATAATATGAGAAAATAGACACTCAGAAGTCAAAACATTCCATTATTAATACTGATAATAACTAAGACTTGCATGCCATACTGCTATGCAAAATTAAAACCATATATAGCTAACTTGTACCTAAGTCTTATAGCATTCATACAACTTAATATCCATCTGGAGTCTAAAATAGAAATCACCCTGGAAATCGTCTGTTCTAAATGTTACAATCCCTCTGGCCATGAAGAAATCGCCGGTACCTCCAACTACCGAAAGGTCCCGAGTTTTCTCCGGCAGAGGGTCTGCACCCATGATGTTTAAAGTCCCTTTATACTCAGAAGAGTTGAATATCAAAGTGTAAGCAAACCAGGCATTGAAAGTGTCCTTCTTGTCATAGAAATAGAAGCCTTGAGCTCGTGCTACCGGCGGTGAAAGAAGATGACCGTCTTCCGTCATAGGGTCATCGAAAATGACCATCATGCCAAAATGGGAACCAAGTTGAGTGTCATTTGTAACTTTTGCAGAAGTCGCATTTGCAAGATCTGTGCCATTGAATAGGATGTCATGGTAATAGAGAATGATTCGCTTGCACGGTTCATCTGGTTTTAGTGTCTTGGAAAGGATAGAAACGCAAGAGATTGTGAGGATAAAGAGAAGAATGTAACAAGATTTTTTCACAAACTGTATCATGCTATGGCTATGGCTATGGCTATGGCTATGGCTACGGCTACGGCTACGGCTACGGTGTAGGTCTGCAGGTTCAACTTGTTAGGAATATATAGAAAGTTTCCATGCTAAAAACCGTACATTATGGCAAAATCGAGAAGGTGGCTTTGACGGTACTAAACAGCATTAAAAATGAGAAAGAAGTTAATTGTATCGTCCTACTTGCTCTCATACAGTCATACACACTCAGTCGAGATACTTTTTGGGTGATCTCGTCCTATATCTCAAGTTTAGCAATTACAGACAAGGCGTCTTTGTTCTTCTTGCTGATCATATTTAAGAAATTCTGCAGTGAAAACAATGATTGAAATCAGTGCCTAAATCCGTTAACTAACCGATTTTAAAGCTTAAACAGTTGGGGGCGAGAAACTTATTAAAATGTTATCTTCGGCATATCCTCTTATATGAAGGACAAACCAATTTTTTTCCACGAACAAGCTCAGGTTTGGCATCATAACATATTAATTACATATCCCTACAATCCCTCAGGGCACATCTCCAACTGGTAAAAGGGGAAGGTGAAGAAATCCAGCTTTGCTTGAGACTGTCGCGTCAAGGGTTCGAATCCTGAAATATGGATTTGACTTTTGGGTAAGTGTAAGTGTACAAGTAATCTTCCACCCTGTATCCTTGGAGGTATAACCTGCGATTTATCTCCCTCACAATGTTACAGGGCAGGAGTCGTGGGGAACCCTTAAGGTTGGGTTCAACTTTTTTTTTTTTTTTTTTTTTTTTCATATCCCTACAAAAATAAGAGAGAGATGTTGCTTGCACTATTCATATCGCGTCATCCTTACGTCATGCTGATAGATATATTAGCCAGATATTATTATTATTAATTTTTTTATGATAATTGTTTCTACAGAAATTTAATTCTAAAACATCACTTGGTCAACTTTCTTTCTGCACACTTCTCCCACATTAAATGCATGCTCAGTCGGTGGAAGGTCATTTATTCCTTTATACAATTGCACACGCAAATGTGGTTCATTGGGTTGGATTAAGACGCAAGCCTGTTTGTGCTGCATTATTTCACCGAGTTCTGCTTCTGAGCCAGGTTCAGAAACAGGGTAAAAAACAGGGGGATGAGGTGGCATCACCTCAACCCCCAAATTCCATACATTTTTTTTTTTTTTAAGGTCCGACGGTCGAGGTGGAAACACCTCGGCACCCTGTTTTTTGGCCTGGACAAGAGGCATTTTCGTATTTCACCATTTTTAGAAGAAATTGTACAGTTGAAGGGGCCACAAGCAGCTTTTTGTCTAACATTGGCTTTGATTTTGGTGCTCCAACTGTACCATATTTTCTACTTTTGGGGCAATAAATAGGCTCACGTTTCTCTTTCATCTCTCTCTTTCATAGAAAATTGCTCTGAATAGAAATAGCTAGAGTTTGTTCCTTTGGTGTTCTTTGTTGTGTGTTTTTTGTTTAATTTCTTGCTGTTGTGCATATATTTTCGTGTTCTTACTATTTTTTGTTGTCAGTTTGAAGCTCCAATTCTTCAAAGTGCAAAATGGAGGGTGGTCCCCTCGGGGCACTTCTCCTCTGACAAAGAACGGATTCTCTCAAAGCTGACAGATCAGAAATTGTGAGTTCGATTTTTAAGGTTCTTGGAAGGCAAGACACATACTGGAAGGCAGGAGTGTTTTAAAAGGCACTTTGACAGTCCAGTTGGAGAGGTGCTCGGACTCTGATCAGTTGGGGCACATCCCGTGATTTAACTGGTCTGTGTGAAGAGGGATTAGATCACATATCCAAAGAATAGTCGTCGAAGATGGACACCTTGATAAAATAAAATAAAATAAAAATGAAGGGCGACGGTGCTACTAGCAATGCGCAAGGGACTGCTTGTCGATGTGTACGGTGCGGGTCGTGCTTTTATAGGGTACGATTCTCTTTTCTTATCTAACTTTGTTCACTTTTATACCGCAGCTGTACTTGTAGAGGCCAAACGGATTATTTCCCTCTACAACCATGTTCTTTATGTCACAATCATGGATGTGGAGCAGTGCAAAGCTTGCTATTACTAAAGTTCATAGGGACATAATTAACCGTGTATGTTGGCTTCTTGAATTTTTGCTCCTTTTTTCATGTGTTGAGATTCTAGAATTTCAGAGAACAATTCAAGTTTGTGTGATGGTTTTGCCATA